AAAAAAAAAAAAAAAAAAAAAAAAAAAAAAAAAAAAAAAAAAAAGTTACACAGAGCTTGCTAGGCCCTCTGAGAGATACCAAAAGTTTAAGACATGGATACCCCTAAAAGAAATTCTAACATTATTGAGAAACAATGTATACTGAGAGCTTTCAAAACAAAAAATAGAAATGCTAAATAAGTAGAATTATTCATGATAATTACACTAAAAGTCCAGAAGGAAGAGAGATGTCTGTGAATTTAAATCAGAAGGTTTCAAGTATACGGGTATACTCAATGAAAGTATTCCTATACTCAGTAAGCTATCCCTAGAAAGACATTCTGTTCTAAATAATATTAATAGGAGCTAAAACTCACGTATCAATATGTGCCAAATGCTAACTTATCTAATCCTCTGAACAACTGCATGAGGTATGTACTGTTACCCCTTTTAATCAACTAGGAAACTGAGTGAGAGGAACTTTAAGTGACTTGCCCAAGCTCAAGAAACTAGTAAGTTGAGGAGCAGGGACTCAAATCCTGGCATTCCAGCTCTAGGACCTGATCTCTCTACACAGTCCTTGTCCTTACTGAGCAGAGTGGTGTGAACAAAGGCACAGAAATGAATGTATAATGTGATTGCAGGAGATAGCAAAGATGCTGGGCAGACAGGCACAGCAGATTTAGTTAGACATCTTTGCTCTTGGCCAATATATGTTCAAATGGAGAAATTCTTTATTTGATTAAAATCCAGACTTACTTAGCACTTTCGTTATATAGTATGATGTTTTAGAAACCACCCCCTCAAATTACTGCAGTGTAGAAAAGCAACCATATGAAAAGTTCCTTCATTATTATGTGTGTCTTATTAATTGCTACACAAAACAGTAACCCTTTCTTTTCTCATTTAGTTATTACTTAATTGGTAAAGAAATTCTATATTGTGAACTTAAAGGATCAGATGCAGTTTGGAGTAGTAAGCCCCCAATATGTCAAAGTAAGTAAATTCTCTCTCTTTTTTTTTTTAATTTAGACCAGTAGTTCTCAAAGTTTTTTGCCTCAGGGAACCCTTTACACTTTAAGATTAACAAAGATCCAAAAGAGCTTTCTTTTATGTGGGTTTTATCTATTGGTATTTATCATATTGGAATTCAAATTGAGAGGTTTTAAAAATAATTATTGATTCTTTTTGGTTTTGTTTTTCCCAAGACAAGGTCTCACTCTGTTTCCCAGGCTGGAGTGCAGTGGCACAATCTCAGCTCATTGCAACCTCAGCCTCTTCAGTAGCTGGGACTACAGGCATGTGCCACTATACCTGGCTTTTTGTAATTTTTGAAGAGACAGGGTTTTGCCATCTTGCCCTGGCTGGTCTTGAACTCCTGTGCTCAAGTCATCTGCCCCTGTGGGCCTCCCAAAGTGCTGGCGTTACAAATGTGAGCCGCCACACCCTGCCTGATGAATTGTGAGAATAGACGCAATACATATTAACATATGTAACTTTTTTTAATGAAAAATAACAGTTTTCCAAAACAAAATAAAACTAGTAGGAATAGTGGCATTGTTCACACTTTTTTGCATATCTCTTCAACATCTGGCTTAAAGCAAGATCAGATTTGGCCTGTTGTGTTATCATACAATATGTAGCCTTTGGAAAAAATCTCTATACACTTGTAAGGATGACAGTGAAAAAAGACAGTAATATTTTGGTGGTACTGTGAACCACCGATTTGGAAAATGGATATATTTATAAATTGCAAAGGATTTCTCAACCACCCACTCCGTTAAGCATATTTTCTAATTAAATTGTCAGCATTTCTTGTGATGACTAGAACAAAATTTAGCATGGCCTTGCAAAGAAATATAGGTATGTTATTAGTCCATTTTTATATTGCTATAAAGAAATACCTGAGACTGGGTCATTTATAAAGAAAAGAGGTTTAATTGGCTCATGGTTCTGCAAGCTGTACAGGAAGCATGATGCTGGCATCAGCTGGGGGTTTGGGGAGGCCTCAGGAAATTTAATCGTTGAAAAAGGAAAAAAGGGAAGAAGGTGTCTCACATGGCAGGGGCAGGAGCAGGAGCAAGGTGGGGAGGATGGGAGGTGTTGCACACTTTTAAACAACCAGATCTTCCAAGAACTCAGTATCATGAGAACAGCACCAAGGGGATGGTGGGTGCTAAACCATTCATGAGACATCTACCCGCATGATCCAACCACCTCCCACCAGGCCACACCTCCAACACTGTGGACTGCAATTCGACATGAGATTTGGTGGGGACCACAGATGCAGACCATATCGATGGGTATTTACACTTTAAGAAAATGAGATTTGTTCTGAAAGTTAGTCAAACATTAATGGTTTGAATTTGGGACATTTGCTTATAGAAATCTTCTTTTAAATCAATATTGAATTCACAACCAGCTTGTAGAAACCCTATATTGATTAATGTATTGAAAGCATAGAAATTTTACTAATGCTGTCTTAATCTTTTATACTTCCTTCCCTCTTTTTCCACATTATTAAGAGATTCTGTGTAAACCACCTCCAAAAATAAGCAATGGAAAACACACCTTTAGTGAGGCAGACGTATTTGAATATCTTGATGCAGTAACTTATAGTTGTGATCCTGCACCTGGACCAGATCCATTTTCACTTGTTGGAGAGAGCACGATTTACTGTCGTGACAATTCAGTATGGAGTGGTGATGCTCCAGAGTGTAAAGGTAATCTTTCAATGTATTTCCTTCTTCATTTGTACATACTCTGGAATAATTTTGTAAATAGTTTTATCTATGACTAAACAAAGCAGGCGTATGCACGTCCTCCTCCTATATGATTGATTTCTAATATATTTTAATACAGGTTAGTTCAAGTCAAAAAACAGTTCTAGGTACAGAGTTCCCTATTTCTTACCTTCACATGTTCTTGGCATTTCATTTTTAACAGTGTGAACTACTATGTATCTGTGTGAGTTAGAAGTTTTTGTTTGAAAGAACCAAAAAAATAACACACAAAGTCCGTGATCCTATTTATGTGACATTCTGAAAACGTCCCACTATAGGGAAAAAGCAGCTCAGTGGTTGGCTGGTTGTAGAAGAGAGGGTGGTGAGGGAAAAGAAGGGTGACTCACAAAAGGGCATGAGGAAATTTTGGAGAGTAATGGAACTTTTCTTTACTGTACTGGTAGTTACATGATTATTTGTGTTTGTCAAAACTCATGTAGCTGTATACTTGAAAGGTGAATTTGACTGTATGTAAATTATATGCAATAAATCTTTAAAAATATCATTAAGGAGAATATATCATTTAAAATGCTTCATATTTAAATGTTTAACATTTAAAGACTTTTTAGAAATGTTTTTAACATCTTGCATTCCATTCCTTGTCTCTGTTTCCACTGGAAATTACTACTTGGTACTACTTTTTCTGTAAAAGCAGATTTCCATTAATTCTGGGGTTTCTCTCCTTTTCCAGTGGTCAAATGTCGATTTCCAGTAATCGAAAATGGAAGACAGATAGCAGGACTTGGAAAAAAATTTTACTACAAAGCAACAGTTATATTTGAATGTTATGAGGGTTTTCACATCGTTGGCAGTGACACAATTGTCTGTAACAGTAACAGTACTTGGGATCCCCCAGTTCCAAAGTGTGTTAAAGGTACAAAGTTTGTCTTTTTTCTGTCTTGGTTTGTTGTTGTTGTTGCTGTTCATTTTTGACTTTATTTCTTTGATATTAACTATCAGTCATACAGAATAACTGAAAAGGAACAATTTTAGTATTTAACTCTGTTTTGTATTCATTTCTATGCCAGATCTATGACATGAAATTCACATAAAATTCTGCTGTTGTGATTTGCTGTGCTTTTCCAGGGTTCTCAGCATGTTATGTACACTGCATGGGTGTATACTTTCTCTGGTTCAATAATTTTATGTATAAAAAGTAGGTTACAACCACTTTTTGGAGTGAATTAAAACACGGGCATTTTTATCTAAGTAAGTCAAGGGCATAATTCATATAAATAAAATGGCAGCAATAACTCCCAGGTGGTTGATCTAATAACGTTATTTTATTTCCTAGAGCCGCCTCCTTCCAGTACAAAACCTCCAACCTTGAGTCATTCAGGTTTAGTAACTTCTTCCTTGTGTTTCTCAAAAATCTTATAAATTCCTGGAGAAAATGCCAGTAATAACTCCCAAGTGTTTGATCCAGTCTACATTATTGTTTTCCAGTGTCGACTTCTCCCGCTACAATATCTCCAACTTCCAGTGTCTCAGGTTTAGTAACCTCCTGCTTATATTTTTTCAAAAATCCTTTAAATTCTTGGTGATTTTTTAAAAAATCCTTCAAATTTCTGGTGATGTCCACTCATTCATCATTTTTAGTAATGAAAGGAGGGAGGACATTTGTCTAGCCATTTTAGTTGTTATACATAGTGATTCTAAAATTATCTGCCATAATCTGGGGTTATAATTTTATATATATATATTGAATTAGGACCTTCCTTTTTATTAGTAAGATGTAAGTGGGATGCATTTAATGCACTTAGCATAGTACCTTGTATATAGAAAGCTCTTAGAGCTAGCTAATATGACCTATTCAACACTTAAATTAATGTTAGGGAATAGGAACATCCATGTATGTTTGTTAATATGTATATGTGTTAATATGTATGTTTGTTAATATGTATGTTTTGTGTCATCAACTTCGCTATTTTATTCTTTTCAGAAGTGATCTGTTGACACTTTTACTGAGAATGTTCCTATTCCAGGAATTTTTCATTTTCTGGAATGCAACGAGTTTGTGTCTTCTGATGTGACACATTTAAACAGGGAAATTTCTGCTGTCTCCAGAGCAAGACCTATATTTCTGCCTCTTCCCTACCTGCCCCTCTTCCACATCTCATAATGTTATTTTTTTTTTCCTCTTTACTGGGCAGTTTTATCCGGCCATAGCAAGTAAATTTTATAGCAACGGAAAGGCAGGAAATGTCCTTACTTACTGAAATGAAATAGAAGACTTTTTGCAGGGACTCCTGGTCAACCACTGTGCTTACGACTGGAGAGATCATTTTGATATGATGGAAGGAGTTATCATCCTGATTACAACACTGCTGTCTCTGGTTTCACTTTGCTTGCAGCAGAAGCAAGAGACAGTAGTCATTGTGGGAAGAGCATTAGCCTGGAAAGAAACATCATTTCTATGGTCTTCCATTTCCCTTTAGTTTAATGTGGATGTCGAACTGAAATCTCAAATCACTGGCTTCTAATTCGAATATATATTTCCTATCTCCCTAATATGTTAAAGGATTGAGGGGAATTATGCATGTTAACATAGTAATTAAAATACCTTCTTATAGGCTGGGGGCAGTGGCTCACTCCTGTAATCCCAGCACTTTGGGAGGCTGAGGTGGGTACATCACAAGGTCATGAGCTCAAGACCAGCCTGTCCATGATGGTGAAACCCTGTCTCTACCAAAAATACAAAACTTAGCCAGGCATGATGGCAGGCACCTGTAATCCCAGCTACTTGGGAGGCTGAGGCAGGAGAATCGCTTGAACCTGGCGGGGGAGGCACGGAGGGTACAGTGAGCGAGGATCGAGTCACTGCTCTTCAGCCTGGGTGACAGAGTGAGACTCTGTCTCAAAAAAAAAAAAAAAGAAAAATACCTTGTATTTTTGTTTATTAGTAAGGTGTAAGTGCCCGGTGTATAGAAAGTTCTTAGAGCTAGCTAATATGACTTATTCAACACCTAATTTAATATTAAGGAAGAGATAGATCCATGTATGTTAATATGTAATTGGTAACTGGTAGCCTCTTGAATTGAGTGCTGTAGGGTTTGAGGGCAGGAAGAGATGGGCTTTTTGGTGGACTGATATGTGAGCAAAACAAAATTGCGTTTGAAATTTATACTCAATGAGGCATCTATGCTTACTCACATGCTCTTAGCGGGTATATGCACTAAGTTTGTTGATACAGTCTTTTGAAAGAGTTGACAATAAGCATTTCATAAAGTGTTTATAAAACACTGATCTAGCTTAGTGCTTGAGAACAGAGGAGAGAATTGCTTGTGAGAAAAAGTTTATAAAAAAGAGAAACTACAAGGGTATTTTTTTGAAAAATCATTCCTCATGGGATTGTCAGTCATTTTTCATCATCAGAGGACAACTAAATAGCAACATAATTATGTTAAGGTAGATCTAAATTACTAACATGAAAAAATAGCCAGGAATCCTAAGTGGAAAAGGGGAAGATATAAATTATGTAGTATGATACCACTTACAGTTTTTGAAAAAGATACATATGTTTACCCCAAGCACATTTTTTTTTTTTTTTTTGAGACAGAGTCTTTCTCTGTCACCCAGGCTGGTGTGCAGTGGCATGGTCTCAGCTCACTGCAACCTTCACCTCCCAGGTTCAAGCGGTTCTCCTGCTGCCTCAGATTCCCAAGTACCTGGGATTACGGGTGCCCACCACTATGCCCAGCTAATTTTTGTATTTTTAGTAGAGACAGGGTTTCTCCATGTTGGCCAGGCTGGTCTTGAACTCCTGACCTCAAGTGATTCGCCCGCCTTGACCTCCCAAAGTGCTGGGATTACAGGCATGAGCCACCAAGCCCAGCCACACATTACTTTTGTGATTTATTATTGGTTATCTTCTAGGATTTCCGTTATAAAATAGAGTATAGTGAGCATTCTTGTACCTACATCCTTACATGCCTGTGCAGCTATATATGTAGGCAAATTCTAATCTGTAGAATTGCAAAGTTTGTAAAGTATGTGTAGTCTTCATTTTGATAAATAATCTTTAAAAATCAATATCAAAATTAAAGTCATAATTTTATATTGACAAGGCCCTGATGAATTTATAAAATCAAACTTATTTTTCTAGGTCCTAGACCTACTTACAAGCCTCCAGTTTCACGTTATCCAGGTTGGTTAGCCCTTTATCCTACTGATATTGTTAAGAATTTGTTTTACTTAAAATTTTTTTAAATTAAAAACTTTAGACATATCTAAAAAAATGTTAAGAATTTTTAAATGATAGGTGAAAAGTAACATCTTATTTTAATTTGCATTTCTTGGTTGTGGGTTTTTATTTTTTTGTTTGTTTGTTTGTTTGTTTGAGACAGGGTTTCACTCTGTTACCCAGGCTGGAGTACAGTGGTGCGACCACAGCTCACTTCAGCCTCAACCTCCTCCTGGGCTCAGGTGATTCTCCCACCTCAGCGTCCCAAGTAGCTGGAACTACAGGCACATGGCACCACACCCAGCTAATTTTTTCTGTATTTTTTGTAGAGACAGAGTTTTGTCATGTTGCCCAGGCTGGCCTCTAACTCCTGGGTTCAAGCAATCCTCCTGCCTCAGCCTCCCAAAGTGCTAGAATTATAGGTGTGAGCCACCATGCGTGACCAATTTGCATTTCCTTAATTATCAGTGAATCTGAACTTTTTTTTTGATCTACATTTGTTTATTCATGTGCTTTGTCTATTTTTCTATTAGGTTTCTAAAATATTTTTCTGAGTGATTTTTGAGAGCTCATTATGAATTAAAGCCCTTTTAATATGAAGCAAACAGTGTTTTCCAGGTTTTTTTGTTTTGTCAGTTTTAAGCTTGTTATACTATTGAATATAGATTACTTTTTATAACTTTTAATCACGAGTTGTATTTGAATATATTTTTATAGAATTTCAAACTTACAAAAGTATATAGAGTAAAAGATTAGTTTCTTTCTAACTTATCCAAGTTAATTACTGTTAATAGTTCAGAGTTTCTTTTTAAATCCATGTTTGTGCATCAAGATCTTTTTTTGGAAAGTTTTATTTTAGTTTGGGGGTACATGTGAAGGTTTGTTACATAGGTAAATGTGTCACAGGGATTTGTTGTACGTATTATTTCATCACCCAGGTATTAAGCCTAGTACCCAGTAGTTATCTTTTCTGCTCCTCTCCCTCCTCCCACTCTCCCGCTCAAGTAGACCCCAGTGTCTGTTGTTTCCTTCTTTGTGTTCATAAGTTCTTAACCACTTAGCTCCTACTTATAAGTGAGGGCATGCAGTATTTGGTTTTCTGTTTCTGCATTTGTTTGATAAAGATAATAGCCTCCAGCTTCACCCAAGTTCCTGCCAAAGACATGAACTCATTCTTTTTTATGGCTGCATAGTATTCCATGTGTGTATGTACCACATTTCCTTTATCCAATCTGTCATTGATGGGCATTTAGGTTGATTCCATATCTTTGCTATTGGGCATAGTGCTGCAGTGAACATTCATGTGCGTATGTCTTTATGGCAGGATGATATATATTTCTCTGGATACATACCCAGTAATGGGACTGCTGGGTTGAATGGTAGTTCTGCCTTTAGCTCTCTGAGTAATCACCATACTGCTTTCCACAATAGTTGAACTAAATTACACTCCCACCAACACTATATAAGTGTTCCCTTTTCTCTATAACCTCGCCAGTAACTGTTATTTTTTGACTTTTTAATAATAGCTTATTCTGACTGTTGTGAAATGGTATCTCATTGTGGTTTTGATATGCATTTCTCTAATGACCAGTGATATTGAGCTTTTTTTCCATATGTTTGTTGGCCACATATAGGTCTTCTTTTGAGAAGTGTCTGTTCATGTCCTTTGCCCACTTTTTAATAGCGTTGTTTTTCCTCTTGTAAATCTGTTTAAGTTCCTATAAATGCTAGATATTAGACCTTTGTCAGATGCATAGTTTGCAAAAATTTTCTCCCGTTCTGTAGGTTGTCTGTTTACTCTGTTGATAGTTTCTTTTGCTGTGCAGAAGCTCTTCAATTCAATCCCACTTGTCAATTTTTGCTTGTGTTGCGATTGTTTTTGGCATCTTTGCCATGAAATATTTGCCTGTTCTTATGTCCAGAATGTTATTGCCTGCATTGTCTTCCAGGGTTATTATAGTTTTGGGTTCTACATGTAAGTCTTTAATCCATCTTGAGTTGATTTTTGTGCATGATATAAGGAAGGGGTCCAGTTTCAATCTTCTACATATGGCTAGCCAGTTATCCCAGCACCATTTACTGAAGAGGGAATCTTTTCCCCATTGCTTTTGTCAATTCTATGGAAGATCAGATGGTCATAGATATGTAGCCTTATTTCTGGGCTCTCCATTCTGTTCCATTGGTGTATATACCTGTTTTTGTACCAGTACCCCCATGCTGTTTTTGTTAGTGTAGCCTTGTTTGAAGTCAGGTAATGTGATGCCTCCAGCTTTGTTCTTTTTGCTTAAGATTTTCTTGACTATTCAGGCTCTTTTTGGTTCCATATGAATTTTAAAATAGTTTTTTCTAGTTCTGTGAAGAATGTCGTTGGTAGTTTGATAGGAATAGCATTGAATTGTAAATTGCTTTGGGCAGTTTAGCCATTTTAATGATATTGATTCTCCCATCCATGAGCATGGGATGATTTTTCATTTGTTTGTGTCTTCTCTGATTTCTTTGAGCAGTGTTTTATAATTCTCATTGTAGAGATGTTTCACCTCCCTGGTTAGCTGTATTCCTAGGTATTTTATTCTTTTTGTAGCAATTGTGAATGGGATTGCTTCTCTGATTGGGCTCTCAGTTTGGCTGTTATTAGTGTATAGGAATGCTAGTGAGTTTTGTACATTGATTTTGTATCCTGCAACTTTGCTGAAGTTGTTCATCATCTGGAACAGCTTTTAGGGCAGACTAAGGGGTTCTCTAGATATAGAATCATGTCATCTGCAGACAGAGATAGTTTGACTTCTTCTCTTCCTATTTAGATATGCTTTGTTTCTTTCTCTTGCCTGATTGCTTTGGCTAGGACCATCAACATATTTTTATGTGTAGTTATACTGTAGTTTGGTGTTTTGTCTTTTGTTAAAAATGATGTCATGCTGTACATATTTTTCTGCAACTTGAACTTTTTCCACTTACACTCTTAGATTGGGGTTGTGTTTAGATTTATTCTCATCTTTTCTAATGGTGACTTAAATATATACCATATTTCATTTAACTGTCCTCCTATCAGTGGTCATTTATATGTTCAGACATTTTACATTAATAGGTGGTTGGATGTATAGCCTTTGGTGTCTTTCTTACTAAAACTTTAGGTCTTTCATATGCTGAAATTATATAAAGATTTCAACTACGTGTTCTGACTTTGGTCTTTGCACTTAAATCGTTGGTACATCCGAAATTCATTCTGGTGTATATAATGAGATATATGGTTCATCCTCTCCCCACTCCACCCACCACCATCCAATAGCTAAACAGAACCATTTTTTGAATAAGTTATCTTCTCCCCAACTGATTTGAAATGCCAATTTGTATCATACATTGCATTCACAGGTGTTCCATCTTCCTTTCTCCTTTGAGCTTTGTCTATTCTTCCATTCTTGTACCAAAAGCAAGTTTTTTTTTTAACTGTAGTACTATATGTTTTAATAACTTCCAGAATACTTCTTTTCAAAAATTTCTAAGGTACTCTCATGTTAATTTTTCCAAATCAACTTTTCATTTTATTTATCATTTGACCATTTTAAGTTTACAATTCAGTGGCATTAAGTACGTTGACATTGTTATATAACCATCAGTACCATCTATCCCTAGAATAGAATACAACCATCCCACACTGAAACGCTACTTCAACAGTAACTCTCCATTCCTCCCTATCTCTAGCACCTGATTAAACTACAGTATACTTTTTGTCTCTGTAAATTTGCCTATTCTAGGTAAATTCATATAATTTAGATATAATAAGTGGATTCCGCTTATGGAATCCCAGTATTTGTCCTTTTGTGTCTGGCTTATTTCACTTAGCATGTTTTTAAGGTTCATCTATATCTTATCTTGTGACATGAGTCAGAACTTTATTCCTTTTTATGGCTGAATAATAGTCCATTATATGTTTATACTATATTTAATTTATTCATTCATTGTTGCTAGACACTTGGGTTGGTTTGTTTTTATCTTTTGGCTCTTTTGAGTAATGCTGTTATAAACTTTGAGTTCCTGTATTAACTTCTTTTAGTTATATACCTGGGTGTAGAATTGCTAAATCACAAGGGAATTCTATTTTTAATATTTTGAGGAATTGCCATACTGTCCTCCACAATGGCTGCACCATTTTACATTCCCACCAGCAGTGTACAAAGGTTCTCATTTTTCCACATCTCCACCAACACTTGTTAAATTGTTTTTTCAATAATACCCAAGTGTCTTAGTCCGTTTTGTATTGTAAAAACAGAATACCACAGACTGAGTAACTTACAATGAACAGAAATTTATTTCTCGCAGTTCTGGAGGCTGGGAAGTCTAATATCAAGGTGTGGGCATCTGTGAGAGCCTTCTTGCTTTGTCATGATATGACAGAGGCCATCACATGGTAGAAGGGAAAAGAGAGGGTGAGAGAGAGAGTAAGAGGGGTGAAACCATGCCCTGACTAGCAAACACAACTCTGCAATAACGACTTAGTCCATTCATGAGGACAGAGCCATAATGACCAGAACACCTCTTAAAGGTGCCACCCCTAATAACATTACATTGACAATTAAATTTCATAATGAGTTTTGAAGGGGTCATTCAAACCATAGACCATCCTACTAGATATGAAGTAGATATGCATACTGGATATGCATTTCCCTAATGATTAGAAATGTGTTGAGAATCTTTTCATGTGCTTGTTGATCATTTGTATATCTTCTTTAGAGAAATATCTATTTAAGTCTTCTGTCCATTTTCAAGTTGGGTTGATATTTGTTACTGAGTCTTAGGAGTTATTTATATATTCTGGATATTACTCCCTTATTATATATATGATTTGTAAATATTTTCTCCCATTTTGTGGGTTGCCTTTTAACTCTGTTGATGGTGTCCTTTGATTTACAAAATTTGCTTTTAATTGATGAAATACAATTTTTTTCTTGTCTTGCCTTTGCCTTTAGTGTCACATCCAAGAAATCATTGCCAGATCCAACGTGGAGAAGCATTTCCCCTATGTTTTCTTCTAAGAGTTTTATAGTTTTACCTCTTGTGTTTAGGTCTTTTATCTATTTTGAGTTAATCTTTGTATATGGTAAAGGTCCAGCTTCACTTTTTTGCCTGTGAATATCCAGTTTTACTAGCATCATTTGTGGAAGAGACTGCCCTTTCCCCATTTGGCTGTTCTTTGTCACTCTTGTTGAAAACCATTTGACCATATATGCAGAGGTTTATTTCTGATGTCTCTGTTCTAGTCCATTGGTCTGTATGTCTGTCTTTTTGTCATTACCATTGTTTTGATTCTTATAGTTTTATAATAAGTTCTGGAATCAGAAAGGGTTAGTCTTCTCAACTTTGCTCTGTTTCCAGGATTGTTTTGGCTATTAGTGGTCCCTTAATTTCATATGAATTTTAGATTGGATTTTTCTATTTCAGTAAAAAAAAAAAAAAAAAAAATCAGGATTTTTATAGGAGTTGCACTGAATCTGAAGGTTGCTTTGTAGCATTGATAGTTTAAAAATACTAAATTTTTTCAATCCATAAACACAAGTGTCTTTCCATTTATTTATGGCTTTAATTTTTTAGCAGTTTTATAGTTTTCAGTATGTAAATCTTTCACCTCCTTAGTTAAGTTTATTTCTAAGTATTGTATTCTTTTTGATGCTATTACAAATGATATTGTTTTCTTAAGTTCCTTTTCAGATTATTCATTGTTAGTGAATAGAAATACAACTGAGTTTTGTATGTTGATTTTGTAACCTGCCACTTGGCTGAATTCATTTATTAGTTCTAAGGGATGTTTGTGTGTGTGTGTGTATATGTGGGATCCTTTGAGAGTTCCACATAAAAGTTCATGTCATCTGCAAACAGAGCTAATTTTATTTCTTCCTTTCTAATTTGAATTCTTTTTTTTTTTTTTTTTTTTTTTTTTTTTTTTTTT